CCCTTGCATTTGCCAGGCAAGCGCTTATTCCACTGAGCCATCTCCCTGGTCCTGAATCTCTTAAGCTGACATGCATGCTAAACTGGGCTCCTATATGGAGTTTCTGGTTGAATAGATCTTGGGGGAGCAGAAACCTTGACATATCAATAGTGACACCTCAGAATTTACTGTTAGCTGGCTTAGAAGGGAGAAATGGTAGCATGGTCTGTGCTTCCTCCTGCTTCTTTCCAACTGAGTTTCTATGCCTGTGATAATTTTCCCAATTATGTGCTTAATGAATGTTTCTGACTTGTGCTTTTCAAAAGCTGAGATTGTCTTTTTGGATCTTAGGTTGCACAATACACTGGAATGATGAGTATGCACTCAGTTCTTGGGCCTACTGGCACCACGAATACAAGCTGGAAATGTTCCTTCTCTGAATTATTAATTTCATTAAAGAAGTAACAAGTCATCATGTCCAGCTATGAAAATCTGGGGCACTTCTGTTCTACTCTTACTACGAGCATTGTCACACATTAAGTTTGGACCTAATGAGGACCACAGTGAATGTAATTAGTCAAGACTTTCACATTGATTTCCACGGCAGCTGCGGTAATTTACATTCCCACCAAAAATGTAAACTCCTTCGTTTTTCTCGACATCGTTGTTAGTGAAAGGCATATAGTAATCGTAAAGCACTGTTGGTCTCCCAAAGGGACAAAAAAAGGCACACTTACAGTTGCCTGGTGTTTCTCTGCTTTCTCAGATGCCGCTTTAAGCTGATTCTGCAAGGACTCCTGGAGGGACTTCATTTCTTCTCTAGTTTAGTACAAAACAAAGAGCAAAGAAGAGCTATAATATCATGCTATTATACTCTATGAACATCCTCATCTACCAACATTTAGGAAATAGATGACTAGAAGTTTATAAAGCAATGGTTATGCAAACAAGACATATCTAAATACTCTGTAATAAAGGGTCTTGTCTCCCAGGCAAATGCTAAAAGCAAGCTGTGGTTAAAGGAAATTACTCTGCTCTTAGGTTTTGTAAGAATCCCACTGTGTGAATCATCTGTGAGCTACATTATGTGCTAAATCAAATCAATTTATTAATTTGGGCTGAAAAGCTAATTTTGCTAACGACATACCAGAGTGTGAACATGCTGGTGAGGAAAAGTCACAATAGCCTAATGATAGGATAAAATTACTGCTCCCTTCCGATGTTCCTGATTGAATAATTCTACAGTATTTCACTCTAGACTTCATTTCCAAGACCTGAGCATTTTCATAATCACAAAGGTCAAAGAGAATTATTTATAACTTGAAGGCCACCTCATTCAATGGATGTAATAAAGGAAACATTAATATACACACTGTGGTGCGTTCTCACTAACACACAAGTATACAAGGGTTGCCTCCTTTGTTGAAAGTGGAAATAATTTCTGAGGTTTTCATGCCTCTCAAGGATTTAAAATTTACTACTCTAAGACAGATAACATTATCTGCTTGTGTTTTATTTTATCAGCAAAACTATCAATTGGAAAAGGCTCGGGCTGGCCAAGTAGCTCAGTGGATTAAAACATCTGTAAGCAGGCTCACGGGCCAGGGGTTCAATTCCCAGGCTTGCCATGCTTGCCCCACCCCCCAGGGGATGCTGAGATGGAGATTGAGCCTGGGCATGGTGGCATGAGTCTGTAATCCCAGCTTCTTGGGAGGCTGTAAAGAGGCTGATCACTATGAGTCCAATCTAGTAGTGAGACCCTGATCACCCTGTACACCCTGCCCTAAAATACAAAATGAATAATAAAAATAAAAAATAAAAGGAAAAGGCTAGATATTAAATAAGATTTAGTGCATACATGCAAGAACAAATTCTGGCTAGACAAGAACTAACCAGAAACCTGGTCTCACCCATGCACAAACTAGTTAAGTCAGTGAACATTCTCAAGCAAGTGACAGGAAATTAGTCCAGGTAAGGTCAGGCAGTGACACTCCCTTCCAGACTCAGTTTGCATACCTGTAAATTAGGTATAATGAGAGAACTAGCAGGTACGCTTGTGGTTGGAGTTGCAAGGTGTTATGTAAACAAAATCCCTGGCATGATGCCAAGAAAGATGGCAAAAGTCTTAGCATGATCCCATGCAACCAAATTAGACCGCTGCTGCCCCACCAACTGCAGAGCAGGCCACCAAGTTCCACATAATCCCAAACTGCTCTCTCATCTCCTGCCAATTAATAGTGTCTCAGATTTTTTACTCTGGGAATTCTTATGCCCTTACTGAAATGTCAGGAAGTGAAGGAGCCTAAATGCTGGTAGAAATCACCTTGAATTTTAGCAAAGCAAAGTATGGTCAGCACCAGAGATTACATAATTGCAGTCAGTTCGATTCCTGGATGAGCCATGTTGGAGCAATGAGGCATTTACTCTGCTTTCACTTAAAGTGGGTGCTAATGTGCAGCAGCCACTACTGTCTCAAATCTCTGTACCAAGCTCATTTCATACACAGACATTTAAGTCTGGAATTCCACTATTAGTTTTCCTTCTTTCATGAAGAGCATCTGTGGCCTAGTATAGTGTGCTACAGAATAACTTTCTTCATATCTTATAGCCTACGCAAGTCATTGTTGTAAGTCTCTTATCAAGATATGACTAAGCATTACAGACAGAAAACTAATGAAAAGAGCAGGAATGGAAGTGTAAAGAAAGTGAGTGTGCTGCCTGTGCTGAGAGTGAAAGACAAAGCAAAACAGGAAGGAAAGAAGGCAAGTGGGGGAAGGAAGGGCTGATGGGTCAGACTACATACTCAGATACTTAACAAGGGAAATGCCATCAAACTATATTTCCAAATACAAATGTTATATGAATATAGTAATAATTATTTTAAATTTAAAATTTTGGAATTAATGAACTAATAACAGTTTGTATTATAGAGGGACCTTCACATTGACCAACCTTTCCAGCTCATTTTCTTAATTTTTCATTTTAAAACTGGATCTTGTTAAATTGCCCCGACCAATATCAAGTTTCTGATCTGCCCGCATCTGCCTCCTAGATTGTTGGCATTCTAGACTTATGTTACCATCAGGGATCATTTTTGGTTTTGATAATATATATAAAATACTTTACAAATAGTTAAGTTGCAAAATATATTCATTATGCAAAAATCCCTCATATTGACATTTAGAGATAATGAAAATTTGCAAGATAAAAGGTAAAGTTTATAAACAAGAAGTTGGAGAGGTGGAGCATTGTGCAAACTGTGGTGCAACTGAATGTTGTCAAGGATTCTAGAAATGAGCATCTTCCATTACCTAATACACTTTTTTTTTTTTTTTTTGCTGGACAAGGGATTGAACTCAGGATGCTGAGCTTGCCAGACAAATGCTTATTCTACTGAGCTATATTCCCAGCCCTCTCCTTTCCTTTTGTTTTTACGGCCTTCTTAGCACATTTTGTCATTATTTTTTTGTGTGTTTTTTTCAGAAAGGGTCTACAGGGTGTTCAGGGTCTCACAAGTAGATCAGACTTGTAGTGATCTGCCTGTTTACAGCCTCGCAAAAGCTGGGATTACAGGCATGCACCACCACACCCAGTCTCAACTGCTGTCTCAGTGTGCCCCAAGGGTGAGGCCTGCACTGCAGGCCCAGTGATCAAACCCTTGACCCTTGTGCCTGCTTGCAGGCACATTAATCCCCTGAGTTATTTGGATGCTCCCCCATTAGCACATTTCTTCAGATGCTCACTACTCTCTAGATTTATGTAGACCAACACTTCCTCTCACAGAGGTGCAGTTGATGCCTCAAGGGAGATGCTTACAGACTTGCTTCTGTAAGACCTCCAAAACTATTTATTGTGGCATTGGAATTTGAAGGTGGTTAAAGACATCTAGAAGACTAGAAACATTCACTTCCAGAGTATCTTCATGTAACACGGTGATATGATGTTAGTGTTTATGTCTGGTTCTTCACCCCTTGCATTTAAGCTCTGTTTCCTGAATTCCATACCCTTCTACAATGATGTTTTTACTGGGAGCCATGTGACCAAGACTGAACTCTCTGAAGCTGTGAGTTAAATAAACCTCTCCTCTGTAGGGCGCAGGATGGCGCCGGTTTCACGCAGCTCCCTACAATCCTCCTTTAATTTGTGGTGTCAAGTAGTCTGGATCCAACATCAGAAAATCTGATTAATGTGGAAAATCTGTAGCAGAAAAATGGGGTCACTGTTGTGACTGCTCCTAATCACTTGGTCCAGAAACCTTTGCACGTGGTTTGTGGAAAGAGCTTGGGAAGGTTGGAAGGCGTGGGCTAGAGAAGCCCTAGAATTCTGTAGGAAGCTTGATGAGAGGTCCTGGTAGGGACTGAAAAAAGTACTATCATATCTAAATGTCTCCAAGCACTTCATGTGCTCACTCATAGAGGGTTTGAAAGGTAAATGAATCATGGAGCTGCTATAGCCACGTGCTACCAGGGGGAAGGACTTGGTGGAAAGAGGTGGATCCCTGAGAGCCTCACCTAGAAGGGTATACCACTCTCCTCCTTTCCTCCATTTGCTCTCTTCCTAGCTGCTGAAATGTGAGTACATTTCCTCCATCCAAATCCTTCCAGGGCTATTTCTGTATTAGAGCCTACTAAAATAGAGTGAAATTTCTGATGATGAGAGGCAAAGTTGTGATGGCCCAATATTTGTCCTGGGAATGCAAAAATAACAGAACAAGGACGCTGAAAGGATAAAGACAATAATGGCCAAGATCCAAGGGATTCTCTTGAAATCAGGAACTCCACTGGCAGAGGGACTAGATGGCGATTGTGCTAAACTCTGGAAGGAAATATATTGACATTTTCCCAATCTTGAGCCTTTGTAGGGGACTTATATTAATTGATCTGGCTGAGAAACTATTAAGGCAGCCCAAATTTCAGGCTGGGGTGCTGGTCCTACTGACTTTTTAAATGGAATTATAGTGAGAATTGTGAGCTAAAATGAAAGAAGAAATTTTTCAAAAACTTAAAATTAGCCCCAAGCAAATCATGTATAAGGCTGTGAAAAACTGATGTTTAGTGTCACAAAGAGAAGTGGAGTACTTTATTTGGGCATAAGGAAAAGACTGCTTTGAAGGTACCTTAAAACCAGGAAGGACCTACCCAATGTAAGCTTAAGGGTGAAAAGTTATAAATAATTGAATTAAAATTATAGCACCTGAGAAACCTGCTTGAGAAGGGCTTTGGATAAAATTGATTCCCCAGCATTTGATTCACTGCATTCAGCATCTAGGCACTCCAAGGCTGCTGCAACCAGGGTCCAAGGGGGCCTGTTTATTGACAGAGCTGGAGCAGATCTCTGTATCTGCTCCACAGATGCAGTATCCCCCACAGTATTCCCCAAATTATCCTTTTTTGTTGTTTTTTTGATCATGTAAACTAGAAAAATTTAGGGATATAAGCGGCTTTCTTCACTATTTCAAAGAAAAATGCTAGCGATCAGTCAAGAAGTCCTTAAAGGACAGAATTTGCAACTGTAGAAATGGACATGAATGTGAATTAAAGTCCTGTGAGAGGCCTGTGGAGATAGCTGAGTGGCAAAAGCATCTGCCTGGCAAGTGCATGGTCCTGAGTTCAATTCCCTGTACCAAGAAGAAAGAAGTCCCTGGGAGTCAGAGATCACAGGAACACTGAATAGTCTGCTAAGGAAAGTTACAAGTGGAGACAACCCTGAAGAAAGGCAGTGTGGGCTACAATCAGCAGGACCCTAGGGGTGCGCACGCCTCAGTCCTATGGCAGCCACGTCTCACCACATTTCACCATGAAGTAATCCCACCTAATATT